GCATGGAAATGTGATATAGTTTAGGTTTTTAATGATAGTATTACAAGAATCCAGCCCTGCTGACAGAATCCCTATCGTCCGCGCGGCTCCCCCGGGGGCAGGACCGGCGTGGCCAGGGCGTCCTGTGTGCCGTGGGGGCGGGAAAGGCCCCGCCATCCAGGAGGGCCTTAGGAAGCGAGCGTTTCCTCTCATAGATGCCCTGGAGCTTTTCGGAGTTTGTTCAGGCAGATATTAAATCGGAAGTTTGTTGGGTTTTGAGGAAGGGACTTACCTCCCGATGCACTCTGCCATTTGATGAGCCGACGGTTGTTTGCTTCCACGGTCCATTCCCAGGGCACCAGCTGCCTGCATCCCTCTGCTTCAGCGTCCGTCCCCTCAGGCCGGGACCGTTGTCGGCTCAGCCCCGTGCCTTGAGCCCCATGAGGACCTGGACGGCCCGCGTCTAGCGCCCGCCCCCCCGGAGGCCCTGTGCGCGTGAGCCCGGGGTCTCTGCTGTCCCGCGACGCTCTTCTCCCACACGCTGCACCCCCAGGCTCGGATCTGACTTCCTTCGTTCCTGTCGTCCCGTCTGTCCGTGGGCAGTTGTTGCTCCCGCCATGGCCTCCACGCGTCCTGGACCCAGAACGGCCTGGTGACTCCAGTGGCTTCACACGCCTTCTGAACGTTCACTGATCCCAGAACACGGGAAGTGCTTGCCTTGCCCAGTGCGGGGCCTGACGGTGGTTTCCAGCGCCTCGTACAGGGCAGATTGTGCTTCTTCGGGCAGAGACGTAACGGGACGGTATCGGCTCACAGACGGCTGGGGGTCCACGGGCACGTGGGGACCGTCTTCCCTGCTCGGATTAGTCTCCTAAGGCTGCGGGGACGGGGGAGGAATCCTTGGTAAGAAGCGGACTCCACACACACGTGTGCAGCATCTACACGTACAGAACACGTCTGTACGCCAAGTACACAGCACACATGGATCTCCGCGTCACGTTTCTGCGGTCACAGTTTCCCTCAAGCCCCGGGCTTGCAGTCCCCCAGGAGCAGACGTGCAGAGAGCGCGGGGTCGTGAGTCTGACCGCGGTCGCGTTCTCCGGAGCCTCCTCAAGGAGGGCGCGTGTTCTGTGCTGTTTAGCAGACAGAAGCTGACGAATCGTGAAAACCCTTGGCGGGAGCAGGACCGCACTCCTCCCCTCAGCAAGAGCAAGCCGGAATGTGCTTTGGTTTAGTTTTTCTCAAAAATATAACAAGTTTTAAAGAAAGAAAGGAGAAATGCGCTTGCGAGGCGTGAGGTCATGCGTGCTGGCTGGGACGGGGCCAGGGTGCATGGCCCCCGGGGCCCCAGGCGCGGTGCTGACATCCTGCTCGCCATGTGCTCGCCCACTCCCAGTGACCAGCCAGCGCCCAGTGTGAGCAGCAGAAGAGCGTTTGGAAACGTCCTGTGAACAGCATTCCTTCTGACCCCAGAGACCCCTTGACCTTGACGGCGCCCCCCGGCCTTTGTGTCTGCAGGCCTTGGCGGAACGATGCCCAATGAGCCAGCCTGGCCAGGAGGCTCTGCCTCTGGTGAGGGAGCCTCACCGGGACTGGGCTGCCTGGGGAGAAGCAGGTGAGGGGCGGCGAGGGGGTAGCAGTGGGGCCCTGAGACCGGAGGCTGGGCAGTTCTGGCGGGATCACGGAGCCGGGCACAGAGAGCAGCCACCTCCCGGTACCACACGCAGAATTGCATTTTGCTGAGGGGACCCTGTGCCTCCTTGGGGCACCCGCCTCATGCGGGAATTCCTGGGGACAGTGCCCTCGGGGCAACAGGCATCTCTGTGTGACCTCAGAAAACAGAAATCAGTCCCTGTAATAAGCTGTGAACGGTGCTGGTTCGGGTTCTTAAAAACAACGTGATTGAACCCCAACGATTGTATTCTGTCCGCGTGTACCTGGCCCCAGGAGGGCCTGCCCGCGGCAGCACCAGGACCGTGTGAGGGGCCCTTAGTTCCTGGGGCTGGGACAGCCTTCTTTCCTGTTGGGTCTGCTGTGCACCTGACCTGCCCCCCACCCCCGTCCGCGAGGCTGGGGACCGGGAAGCCCGTGTTGCAGGTGTCCTGATGTGGGGACGCCCTGAGACCTTTCTAGGCGCCCTACACACGTTCTCTAAGGAGTTTTCTTTTCTGAAGATGTTTAACAGCAGAAGAAGCTTTAGTCTCTCCAGGACAGGAGAGGTGGCGGGCTTCTTGCCGACAGGAGTCCCGTGCGGGGCCGAGGGAGGGAAGGAGGGGCGGCGGCAGCGGTCCTGGGCACGCTGGTGAGCGCGTGGGCTGGGTCAGCAGGCGCCCCACCAGCACCCCTGACGCTTCTATTCCTGAGCGGTATTTCCTCGATAGAAAAGTTTAATTTATAACAAGTAAAGGAAACTGCCGGTCGTCTGCACTAATCCGTTAAATATGTCCTTCGTTCTCAAATTCATGTATAAGTTGAAAGTTATTCCAATTAAGAAGGAAAACAGGATGTTTTGTGGAATGTAACTAGATGATACAGTGATTAGAATGGGAGAGAAATATGAAAATAGCTGGTACATTTTTGAAGGAACTGTCCGCAGGAAGGGCGTCCCTGTGGAAAGATTTACTGCTTACAGGTGTGCGGGTCGGTGACAGTGTGCAGAGAAGGACGCAGGGCCTCAGAAAGGCCCGCGTGATTTGGGGAATTTCATGCTCCACGAACTGACTGGGAGGAGGATTGAATGTTTAACAAATGGAGCTTTCAATCGACCGCCGGGAAAATCGATACCCTGAGTTCCTGACGTCACACTGTGATTCCAGTTGGATTGGAGGCTGACGTGAGGATGGAAGAAGGAGAGCCATCCTCGGCCCGGGGCTGGGCAGGTCTTCGGGGACGACGCACCCGCCCGCACAAGGGTAAAAGCTCACTCACAGCAGAAGGCCCCATGAACGGCCTGGAGACACCAGCCACGGACCAGACGGTGGATTCTCACCGGTTCCTAGGGAGGCTCCGGGATTCAAGAAGAAAGCAGCAAGAAACTGAAAAGAAAACAGGCAGGAAATAAGTCGGAACAGAAAATGCGGTTCAACAAGTACCTGACCAGGCGGGCGGCCACGTGTGGCCTCGTGTGGCCTCGTGTTGAGGGCAGGGAGGACGCAGAGGGGTGCAGATTCAAGCAGAAATGCAGCTTGTTTCCGTGGATGGGACGGGTTGACAGAGTGTTGACAGGCGCCGTTAGGCATTTGAGAGCTCTATCGGGACGCCAGGACCCCACGTGCCTCCCGGACCCCCCCCTCACTGCCAGGAGGGCAGCAGCCACGCCGGCAGAGACCCCTCCTGTGACCCAGGAGAACATTGCAGAGCCAGGCAGGGTGGCACGTGGTCCTTGCTTGGTCCTTCTGTTTCTCAAGCTAATGAATCAAATGAGGAGACCAAGTCAGTGGTAAGCAGTGCCCGAGGCAGGGGGACACAGCCCCTAGGCAGGGGGACATGGCGCCCGAGGCAGGGGGACAGGCAGGGGGACACGGCGCCCGAGGCAGGGGGACACGGTGCCCGAGGCAGGGGGACGAGGCAGGGGGACACAGCGCCCGAGGCAGGGGGACACGGTGCCCGAGGCAGGGGGACAAGGCAGGGGGACACAGCGCCCGAGGCAGGGGGACACGGTGCCCGAGGCAGGGGGACGAGGCAGGGGGACACGGCGCCCGAGGCAGGGGGACACGGTGCCCGAGGCAGGGGGACGAGGCAGAGGGACACGGCGCCCTAGGCAGGGGGACATGGCGCCCGAGGCAGGGGGAGGAGGCAGGGGGACACGGCGCCCGAGGCAGGGGGACGAGGCAGGGGGACACAGCGCCCGAGGCAGGGGGACACGGTGCCCGAGGCAGGGGGACAAGGCAGGGGGACACAGCGCCCGAGGCAGGGGGACACGGTGCCCGAGGCAGGGGGACGAGGCAGGGGGACACGGCGCCCGAGGCAGGGGGACACCGTGCCCAAGCACGACGTCCAGGCTGGCCCAGGCACTGCTCGCACAGAGAGGCATTACCAGGTGGATTGGAGATGCACCAGGTTTCTTGGTAACCAATGGAAGTTTCCAAGTTAACCTGGTTAAGACTTTGCCCCGGCCTCTGCCTGCCTGACGGTTTGGGATGCGCCCTCCGCCCCGTGCCCTGCAGCCTCGCAGCTCTGTCCCAGCAAGTGTGTGAGCGGAGCCATGGCCGGGCAGTGATGTGGAAGCCTTGCTCCCTGACCGTCCCTTCCTCTGCACCGAGTACACGTTCTGCTCCGCGGGTTGTCTAGTTAGCGGTGGTCCGCATTCTGCTCTCCGGTCGGAAGAACCCGGCACCTTGCTTTGCCTCCAGAAGCGAACAGTGGTCATTAATCACGCTGCTGCCACGTTGGGGCGGGTGGAGGGAGCGGTCTTCCTGCCTTCCCACGAGGGAAGAGGGGTCTGTGAGGCGGCTGCTAGCTGACCCGGGGGCTGTCACTCTTGCCGTGTGTGCGTGTCTCAGTGGAAAAATGGAAGAGGGATTGTGGTCAATTTAAAATAGGTGGAAAAGATGTTTCCAAGCAGGCGGTGCCTCAGCTAAAAAAAAAAAAGATGCAGTTGCTGTGCTTTTATGCCTTTGAAACATGGAAATGGGGCCGATACATAAACACTTGCAGGGCAAGCTCAAGGGTACGTCCTGCCTGGGAGGAGTCGTGGAGGCGCCCGGCGGAGGCCCCGGCCAGCGGTCCTTCCCCGGTGTCCCGACCCTGTGCCCCCGCGAGAGCCCCCTACCCGGCCCTCGTTCTTCCCACGTGCAGGCTGGACCTCCCACCAGATGCAGTTTCCACACTGCACTGGCCCACTTGTGAGGACACCCTGGTGGCACGCACGTGTCAGCGTGGAGAGAGCTGCGCGTGTCTGGTGGGCGTGCGGCATGGTCACTGTGCTGTTCAGGAGTGCGTGGAAGGCACGTGCGAGGGGCGCGAGGTGGAAGGGAGGCTGAGTGGCACGCCAGTAACGTTGTCCCCTTCTCTCCTCCCAGAATCATCGACCAGCGATTCGAGAACGTGTCCTACTTTGTGTTTGGCGATTTCAACTTCCGGCTGGACTCCAAGTCCGTGGTGGAGGTAGGCACCGCTCCCAGCCTCGTCGGGAGCCCGCAGTCGGGGTTTTAACCAAAGCTGCAGAGGCAGGGTCTGCTCCCCCCGGGCAAGTTCAGCCCTGCCCTTCTCACTGCTTGTATTTAAGGCAAATGTTCCCACTAAGGAGGTTTTACTGTCGAAAGGGGGGCCGTTACTGGAAATAGAAATGGACAGAGTCCCGCAGACCTCTGCGGCTGCTCAAGTGGTCTTTGCCCACGCGGGGACGCCATGTCCTGCTGGGAAGGTTCCGCCGTTGAAAAGCGGACAAGCCAGTGGGGAGACGTGGCTGGAGGGGCTGCTCCGTCAGCTTCCTCACTGGGAGTGCTGGAAACCCGTCTTTCACTGAAAAATTCGTGGATGTCGCTCGATCCCCGGGGGCTTGGAGGCCATGTGTCTCCTGGGTGCACCCGCGGGGCCCCTGGCGGGATGCCCCGCTAAGAACAGGTGCAGATGGAAAGCCTCGGCCCTGCCCCGTCCCAGCCATGTGACCTGAGAGCGTCACCGCTGCGGCCGGGAAGGGGGGCCTGTGGCTCCGGCTCAGGGCCGAGGCTCCAGGGTATACTCCTGCAGCGGTGACCACGGTCCCAAAACCAGCTGCAGCAAAGGGGAGCCCAGCCCAGCCCCCGCCACCACGCCTGCACGGACAGGCCGGCGGCCCACGCCAGGTGCGCGGCGCCCCCGGTGGAGACCTGGGGGCCGTCCAAGCCATCACCTTCCCGTCAGCGTCCATCGTCCGTCTTCTGCAGAAGCGGTTCCTTACAGTCAGCGGGGTGGCTACCCGTCATTCCAGAGCTCCCAGATTCTGGGAGGAGAGAGGGGGACAATGTTACTTCCACGCTGACAGACAGGAGTAATGTACGGAAATTCTCTTCTTCCATCACGTAACGATCCGATGGCACCCGACTGCGCAGGCTCACGGGGCATATGGGTGGTCACGCACCACGTGCCGGGAGAGCGTGGGGTACCCCGCAACAGGCGTTTCGGGCGGACAAGTGAATCCCGTCAGGACTTTGAAATCCTTCGCTTGGTTCTGCTAGTTTTCCTCTCCTCACTTGGAGGGTGGAGGGTGAATCCATCAGATCTCAGGCCCTCCAGCGAGCCCAGGAGCTCGTCGGTCTTGTTGAAATGCTGTTCTTAGGATAGGATTCAGATTTTCAGAAGTGGGATAGCACACATACGCCTGCTCCTCCTTGACCCCACGGGGCCCTGTGCTGGGACCTCAGCCTCGTCCTCTGTCAGCCTGGCTGGCCCTGGCCCAGGAGCTCGGGGTCCTGTCCCCATCCCCCACCCGGGGCAGTCGGCTGGCCCACCTCCAGCCAAGGGGACGCGGGGATGCAGGGAGGTCAGGCTGCGGAGCTCAGATGGTGAGAAGCTCCGTTCCCGCGTCATCGTCTGCCCCTTCCCACCTCTGTGTGACATCAGGTGCCAAGTACGGTTTTAAGTACTGGGAAGAGCTGTGCATTTCTGTGGTCCCTCCTTTGAGGAGGTCAGTTAATAAACGCATTACTGCTACGTTCTAGCTTAAACATTTCTACGCATCCATCCAGGTCCTGCCGACTGCTCTGCTAGGAGACCCCATGGTGGTGGTGCTGGGGAGGCACGGGGGCCCAGGGCGCGTAGTGGGGAGACAGAGGGCTCCCAGTGTAGACAGGGAGGGTGTGGGAGGTCACAGAAGGCAGCACCAGCGGAAACGCTTCTCAGCAGCTCGTCGTCATCAAGTGGCCTCTCCTAGCCCCGTCCTCGCTGTCCCCTTGCCTTGGGGCCCATCTGAAATCCAGCCTGGCTTCATCTCAAGGTCCTCAACTAATTACATCTACAAAGACACTACTTCAGAATAAGGTCCCGTTCTGAGGTCTGGGTGGACACAAATTTTGGGGGGGACTCTTCAACCCGTGACAGCCCATAACACCAGAACGACACGTCTCCCCTGCACTCAAGACTGAACGCTAAACAGTAAACACGCTTCTTGGCAAACGTTCACCTGAAGATGAGTTCAACTGAAAAAGAACAAATTTCTTTCACTGGTGACTAATTTCAGTGGCGCCAGTTAAGCTGTCTTCAGTTACCGAATTTTAAAATAACCGCATAAGCACCTCTTTTGGAAACTCAGAATCTGCTAATGGCTTGGCTTGGCCTTTTAAAAGGGTTTTAACTGTAAAAATGAGAAATTTTGCGGGAACCCTGAGAGTTGGAGTCAGCCTGAGCTACCCATGGTCGGGCGCTCAAGAAGATGGTTGAGGAGAGGTGTTCAGGAAGCCCAGGTGCCCTGAGTCCGGCCCTGGCGAATGCAGATTCAGGGCCCGCCACCCTCAGGGCCAGGCCCTCAACCAGGCCTCTGACCCACTTCACTTTGCTTTTAATTGTCTTCCAAATTAAGTGTCTACTGAGCCCGTGACGGGACCGTCAGGCACGGCTTCCTGTCGGGACAGTGTCATGGGAACTTGTTAGAAACGCTCGTCCTCGGGGGCCCTGTGTGGAGACGCTCATTACGTGGAGCCTCGCGCATCTCAGCGTCCCCTGGGGCGCCCCGGCCGCGCTGGCTCGGGGGACGGGCCCTGCAGGTGCACGCGCGGGACGCCTGCCGAGCTGCTCACCTCTGAGCTGGCCCGTGCCAGGGGCAGCCCTGTGACGGTCGCGATGTCTCCGGAGCCCCCGTGGGAGGCTGCCCGGTGTTACTAGATGGAAGGCCGCGGTCCCGGGGGTCATCGGGCTCTGCTGCACCACGGCCTGTGGTTGGTTTTCGGCAGGCTGCGTGGGTGGTTCTGCTTCACAGACGCCGTGGGTGGGTTGGAGACCAATTCTGGTTGCCGCTTTCCAGCCGGCTGCTCGAAGCCGGCGTCTCTGCCTCAGTGGTCCCACGGGTGTTTCCCGCATGCCTGCCGTGTGCCCTGGGGTGAACGCGGGGCACGGCCCCCGTGGTGATGGCCTGGGTGCCAGGAGAGCCGTGGGGGCCAGGTCTGCCTAGCAGGTGGGACACTTGAGTCTGCTCTTCCTGAAGGGCCTTTCCGTCCATTCCCTGCCTCCCGGGAGTCAAAAGAGCGACCTGAGAGCAGCGTCCTCCAGAGCATCTGCTTCCCAGGACCCTGTGCTCAGAAGCCCCTGCCTTTTGCAGGAGAGCCCTGTTTCGGATGCAGCCGTGTCTGTGGACCTTAGTATCAGCCAGAGGCCAGCAGGGCATGATTTGGGCTGGGGTCTCCTGTGGGCAAGGCCTGGCTGGGAGCCGTGGGGTCCTGTCTGGTTCTCATAGTCTGGGGGCGTCCGTGAGATTGGCAGTGTGGACAGGGCAGGTGGGCACTGGGGTGTGGGCAGCCAGGAGGAGGAGGCCCCGATGAGCGCAGGCCGTCCTCTGTGCATCCGCCACCAGGGGCCCAGAGTGCTCTCTGCCCCTCCGTGGTGCTGAGGAGGTGAGTGGGGCCCCCAACCTCTCCTTCCAAACCACAGCACGGCCCAGGAAAGACACAGGTCAGAAGGAGGCCGTGGGGCTTGACCCACACTGCCCACCACTGGCCTGGGCCTGGCGCTGTCCCACCTCCTCTCCACCTGGGTGGACAGGCAGACCGCCCTCAGCAGTGACCCCTTTTGGAACAGCTGCTTGTGGGCAGCCACATTCAGTGCTTGCAGACCAGGTCCTGGGGGTGGGGGGAGAAGGCCGTGCCGGCCTCGACCCTTGGTTCCGGAGGAGGAGCCCACACGTGGTTTTCGGGTTGCCCGAGGTCAGCGTGGCTGGTGACCAGGGATGCCCTGGACGGTGCCGCGGCTGCGTGTGGTAAGAAGGCCTAAGCAGGGGGATGGGAACGCGCCTCCTGCCTGACGGGGACTTGTGCAAACGCGCACGGTTGCTTCGTCCGCCCGGCGGGTCTCTTCCCTCGGAGTGCTCCCATGAGAAGCCGCTGCCTGACTCGGCTTTGGGTTTGGTTGCTGATGCCCCAGCTGGAGCGCAAGGTCAGCCTCCCCGGACCTGGGGCGGCGAGCACACTGGCGGGAGTCATCAGAGGTTAACTCAATCTGCCTCCGAAACAATGAGGGGCCAGTGAGCGGCTTGCGGCTGCGGCCGCTGTGAGGGACAGGCTGTGATTGTCCTTCCGGCGGCCAGGGGGGCGGGCGCCTCCCGGGTGGGGGTCAGTCAGGCCCGAGCGGGACGGGGAGACCTTGTCGCGGCTTGCGGGGAGGGGGCCGGGTCCGCTGGTGCAGAGGGAGAGGACCCCGGCCCCTGGGAACTGCGGCTTCCTGTTTCGGACGCACACAGATGCCCGCGAGCTGGCAGAGCAGAGCTGAGAAGACCGTTCTGGGAGCAAACTTGGCTGCCGGAGCCGTAATTAAAGCACACGTTAGACACGGTCGTCACGTGCCGACCAATGGGCCGTGCGGCACGAAGCGGATTATTAACGCGGCCTCCGGCTCGGCCCTGCGGGCGGGACCGCTTGGAGGGTATGTTTTATGCCTTGTGCGGTGGCAGCTGGGGCGCTCAGCTGGCCGCAGTGACAAGGGCGACAGCGGTACCAGGCGCTCCCGTCTCTGCCCGGCCGCGCCCACCTGCTGTCCTTCATCCCTGACAGCGATGCTGACGCGTGCGCTTCTGGAGGCTGGCGGCCATTTCAAAACCAGTTGTCAGTGCGTGACACGGGCGCGTGCTCTCAGGTGCCAGGTGGGCCTGTGGAACCCGGGTCCTGTGAGGCCCGTCCGGGAGGGGCGCCCCCAGCCCTGATGGTGCCGGCCTTGGAAGGGGCCAGAGGGACCCACAGCCAGCCCGCTGCGTCCCGAAACCGCCGAAGACCCCAGCCAGCAGCAGGGGTGCAGCCAGCCCCCCAGTGGCCAGAGCCCCGTCCCCAGACTGCAGACTTCGCTGCCGCCAGCCTCCTTCCCTCAGGTGCTCCCACGTCCTGGGGAAGGCGCTCCCACTCGGCCTGGAGGGGGCATCGCCCTGTCACGGCCTGTGCCAGCCGTCTGGAGGCCCTCCAAGATCCGGCAGCCAGGAAGGTCGCCGT